GCGTAGCGCTACTTTGAAGTTTGTTTTTCGCGCTACTTGTACGGCACTATGTTTCCTGGCGGATGGACATGTGACCAACATACCACTCTTGAACCCCGATACTGTGTGTCTGATCACATGCCCTTCCGCCAGGCAACGTAGTGCCGTACAACAGCGGAACAAACAAAACAAATCGTCTTACGATATGACAAAAATCATGGATAATCCATAGAAAAGCCGCACCTGACTAAAAGCTGCAGGGTTCAAAGCTTGTGGAAAAAGTAGCGGCTTATAGCCCAACAATTACGGTATATGCATTTCTGGATGTGTATACTAAATATTTTCCTACGTGTGTGTGTGTGTGTGTATGTGTGTGTGTGTGTGTGTGTGTGTGTGTGTACACATATTTTACAAATTAAATAGAGTAAACAATAAATAAAATATATAAAAATATATTTTTAACATAAGTAACACTGTGAGCTATATTCTCCTGGATTAATCAAATTTCTCCTACTTGTCGTACTTTCAGCAGTCAGTGGAAAAGGACCAAGCCCATCTCTGAACAGTAAGTTACTATCATTTGTTTTATATTTCAGCAATAATATTATATAGCAAGTAGAAATTATCCTATGGCAAGGGCCTAGAAATTCCCAAGATATTATACAATCAAAATGGAAAATAAGAAAGGACATTAAAGAGTGAGTGCTGCTGTCCAACAGGGAAATGATGGTAGAGAAAGAAAACCATACAGCCTCTGTGGTCAGTAATAATTGCTTGGTGTAAAGAAATTTGGTGAACTATTAGTTTCATTGATCTATGTAATTTGGCCAGTACATTAGCACAGCAGTCCCCAACCTTTTTTGCACCACGGTTTAATGTCAGACAATATTTTCATGGACCGGCCTTTAAGGTGTCGTGGATAAATACAACAAAATAAAATGATACGACCAAGACAAAAACTGTGGTATTTTGTAAATATAATAATAAACACAAATTCACTGTGTAATTGTGTAACTTTATTAGCAACATCCTCCTGAAATGCGCCAACAACATTGAGAGTAACATCCTCCTCTCTGCCCCTTAACCCTTTAGAGCCGGTCGGAGCGGGAACGCTCTGTTATGCGTAACTATTTTTAAATCCCAGTAGCACTGCAACCATGTAAGCTAGCGCAAAAATTTTTTTTGCATATGAAACCGGAGGAGTTGTACTTACATCTTATGCCATCAGCTTGTCCTAGGTCACGGTTTCCTTCCACATACAGCTTTGCAAAAACTGCATAAAAAGCACTTGCAGCAACAAAAACATAATATTCCAGAAACACGCCGATCCGATCAGCTGTTCATAACACCTCTGTTGGAATAGACGTCAGCGCGAACTTTTGCATTTCCGCCATTACCTGCCCGAAACCGGAAGTGACGTCATTTTTGCGGAAATGTAGTCTTTTTTACCATCAGGGCCTCAGGGCCTATACTTGTGTTTTTAAAAGTTATCTTTGACTTTATGCCTTTCGGTGTCGTTTCTGGGATGCTTAGGACTCATATTGCACTGCTGGAAATAGTTTATTTTGATGCAGATGCTGCTTTTTTGCAAATTTGCAATATAATATTTATTTTCGTTTTTCCTGCAGTATATAAAAATTGGTGTATTTCAAAAATAAAACTATGAAGACACTCAAAATAAATTTCCTGTGGTGGGAAACTAGTTTGTGCAACTTTTTTGTATTTACAGTTTTGAGGGATAAACCTCTTAAATTTCTCTAACTAGAAATATATGTTAAAAAAGCAAAAACGATTTTCAATTGTTTTGTAGTTTATTGCACTCTTTTGCAATTTATGTAATTACTATGCACTTAATGAATACATATTATTAAAATCTGGGCTATAATGGTTGTATTGATGTATAGCAACTTGAAATGCTCCCAAAAATGGCTCCACAGCAGGTAAAAATATAATATAAGCTCTGGCGGACTTGGTTCTATGGTAGGTCTTAAAGGGTTAATGCTCTCTGGTTGCTATGGTAATGAGTGAATATTTCTTTCAAAACAAGACGCAACTACAACACAGGAAAAGACCCAGGGAAACTGAGTTAATGATAAAAACCCTGAAAACCATAAATTTCACACCTGAACCTCAACACTCTCGGCCCGGTACCGGTCCGTGTCCCGGGGATTGGGGTCCGCTGCAAAAGAATTAGATAAAGAAATAATTACTATGCCTTCATGTAGTTGCATCAGTGTAGTACACAAAATCATTCTCACCAATGGACACAGCTCTCAGATAGTAAAGCAATGACAGAATAAATATGATTATGAAGCATCATTCTGTGTGAATGCAGACTGTCAGGCTGCATTCACACAGAATGACACCATATTATGAATTAAGCAGCATGGTGGCACAGTGGTTAGCACAGTTGCGTCGCAGCAGGTCCTGAGTTTAAAGTTGGTGGACTTCCTCCCAAAGACACTCGCTTAGTGGGGTTAGGTTAACTGCAAATTCTAAATTCCCATTTAGTCAAATAAGTCTCTCTCTATGTTAACCCTGCCATAGACTGGCGAGGGTGTACCCCCCTCTATAACAGCCTGGATAGGCTCCCAGTTGTATGCATGAAAGTTATTCAAATAATTGGCTTTGTTGAAATAATGGAAATGTTACAAACAGGCTTGTAATCAGCAATAAAACAAAGGGAGATTGGACGAGGTAGTAACTGGTAAAGAAACATTTATTTGCAGAACCAAATGTAAGCATGTGTCAGCAGTGTAAAATGTGGTCGTGATAAAGTCTGTAGAAAGCAAAAACACATGCTGTAGCTTAGCTGATCTAGTCTAGGAAGCTAGTGTCTAAATTAGGGTAGTGAGCAAAAAAAGAACTGAGGACTGCAGAAAGGGAGCTTTTATGGCCAATCCCCAAAGGTTGATTGTGTTCATCTGGACGTAGAAGGGTTTCTGCAGGAGAACCGTTTCATTACTCATCCAAGTGACTTCTTCAGTCTCAGCTGACTGCATTTTTCCCCAACCTTATAAACAGAACATTTGCATAACAAGTGAAACTAGAACCACTGAGGGAACAGTGGGCTGGGAGGTCAGGTCCTTTATCAATATCTCTTTCATGCATAGTGGTCACTACAGTGCACAGCTATTCAAAGGCTGTTTTCTTGTATTTTTGTCAGGGTTGATGGTATACTTGCACATAAACTACTACACTGGACATTGATGTGTATTCGTTTGTCAAATTCACAAGTTAAAAATAAGTTTAAAGAAAATCTTATATTCATGCCTAAAGATGAATAAAAACATCCTGATTGAGGTTGTCATAATTCATGCACGAAAAGGTTAATATGCAAATTCTCATGACCATTGATCAACAATCACTGATCAAAGCCAATTACTGTTACTGTAACAGTTACAATGTTACTGTTTAAGCTCAAATTAGTTTGATGTTTAAAGGCTCGCAGTGACCTGAGATACTTCCCCCCCCCGAATGTCTTAAATCATAAGTACCGAGCCTGTTTTAAACATAAGGAGTAGAAAGTACAGAGGATTTTAAAATGAGACCTGGAACAGATGCCTGGATATTCTTCTTACAGTGATGTAATAAGTGTTTGCCCCCTCTTAAATGTTTCAGATCAGATTAAACACGAGACATTATACAAAGATAACACAAGTAAACACAAAATGCTTTGTAAATGGAGTTCATTATGAAGAGGACATGAAACACTGAACTTATAAAAGCTAATTTACGCTGCTTTCAAAAACTGAGATGTTTCACTGTCTGTGGAGCTGAATTTAAGAAAAATGTTAAGTTAAAAATTTAAAAACATGTATAGTGCCATCTTCTGTTGGTACAGGATGGCACGTCACCAGGTTGGTTTGTCAGTAGACTTATATTCGTTTATGTTAGCTAAATATTAACAGAACCAATAACTCAAAGGAAAAATGAGCTTAAGTGGATCACTTTTGTGCTGCCCCTGGCTGTAACAATTTCATTCTGACATCCATCAGCATGTCTGCAGGAAAAGTAAAAACAAAAACACAATTTCCATGGTACAGTCTGCTTTACATTTGTGCTTTTCTTTTACTCACTTCTTAAATGAAGTAATAATTTAGTGATGATGTGGAGGGGTGGGGGCTTCAAAAAATGTGCCATCTCTCTGAAGTCTCCGGGCTTTCATATTTACTTTTTCCCCTTCACACACATTGACCTACTTTCCCTGCAGACCTGCTGATAGGATTCCTGATCGCGCCTCTGTGAGAAACATGTTTGTGGTGTGTATGTAGTGGGCTGTTGTGTTGTAAATTGTTTGGATGTGCTTGCGAACTGAGATATTTTATTATTATACGTTTTTCATTGCATAAAGTAGCACTGATCGCATCAGCTGATTGCGCTGCTCTGTACACCCGACCAGACAAGGAAACCGACTGACCAACCAACCTGGTGACATTAGATATTACTCTTATGATACTCTGTGGATTGATAGTGATAGTGTGACGGTCTGGGGCTGTTTTCATACCTGAAAATGCTCCAGTGTGGCTGAATTACAGCAATTCTGCAAAGATGAGTGGGCCAAAATTCCTCCACAGTGCTGTAAAAGACTCACTGCCAGGTATCGCAAACGCTTGATTGCAGTTGTTGCTCCCAACCAGTTATCAGGTTTAGGTGGCAATCACTGTTTCACACAGGACCAGGTAGGTTTTGATTTTTTTCCTCTTAGTGACAAACATCTTCATTTAAAAACTCCATTTTGTGTTTACTTGCATTATCTTTGTCTGATATTTACACTTGTTTGATGATCCTAAACATTTAAGTGTGACAAACATACAAAAAATAGAAATCAGGATCAAACAATTTTTCACACTCTTTACAGTAACAAAGTATTTTTACTGTTACTTCCCACCTGTGAACCCCATGTACAAGTATTACTTACAACAGCATTACTGAGAATAGGGTTTTTTTTTCCAGACTAATGAACCCATTTGGTATAACACTTTGCACTAAGTTCTTCTTGTCTAGTATTAATCATATCTTTTGTTTCAGGTACCATGGCTGGCTTTCAACTTCCTCATAATGCAACTATTGGAGTTGTTCTTGCTGTACTTGGTGTACCTGCTGCTTGCTGTATCTTGTTTTGGTGGATTAAAAAGAAGAAACAAGAAAAAAGTAAGTTACTTAATTGTTAGATTAAAGTGGACCTGAAACACTATATTTATCTAATTTACACAATGGCCCTGCTCTCTTTCACATCCACTTCCTCTTTATAAAGTGCTTTACAAACCTGAACATTACAGTAAACACTTGTGGTTGAATTCCAAGTAAAGAGTTTAATGATGATGACAGCTGTTTTGGACACTAGGAAAAAACTTTTTTTTTCCACGCCACCTAAACATACTGACTTGGTAACGGCTCTGCCACATGTTGCTCCAAGATAAGTTTCTATTGCAGGTTTATGTTTTATGTGGATGAAATGGTAATGAGTGAGTGCTAAGCATCAAAGCAAAGAATTTGCATTAAGGTTTCATTTTAGACTGAAATTAATCAAATTACTTGATGAATTGCTGCAACGATAGCAAACACACACACAGATCCGCTTAACTGATGTAATATTTGAGTAACTTGGAAGCGTTCAACACACTACCATTTTTGTTTTTCTAGTTTTGTTAGTTTAACTCTTCCCACCTTAAAATGTTTAGAAGTTTGTTAGCTAGCTGTGAAGTTATTTTAGAGTGTTGTCTGTGTTTTAGCATGATCTTCTTTCAGTTAGTACTCAGGATTTAGTAAGATTTCAGTTGCTAAAAATAGCTTGTTCAGCAATCAGCACTAAAAGGAGTCAGCTAGTCAGTTTTAGTCTAAATTGGCTATAGTTTGTTCTTGCTTACATTTTTTTTCTAGTTTTAATCCTGTTAAATATCTAGTTAATGCTCATGCAAAGTGTTGACAAAGGTGTCTAACTACCACACTATATACACACTATCTGTGGCTTGTTGTTGGTGGCACTAAGAAGTTGTAGGTAAATACCTTGCTGTAGAGGCAGACATTGTACAATTGAGATGTTTGTGTTATCCATAGCGCATACTGAGAAAGTGTATCATTATATACAGCAAATAGTTTATTGCTCGTCGCATGCTGTGCTTGAACTCATGATGCTCCTCATGAAATTTCAAAATTTGAAAATCTGACTAGAAATATGTAGTTCACGATCGATCTGGGCGTTTTGAGGAATGAGCAGTGTCTATGACAAGCACTGAGACTAGTTAGTCAATGAATAATAATAATAATAATAATAATAATAATAATAAATTGACATCATCAATGCTGATGTGGCAGGGATAGCTCAGTAGGTAGAATGGTTGCCTCATGATCACAAGGTCCAAGGTTCAAATCCACTGAATGGCAATGTACCGTCACAGCTCCCCAGGCGCCCAATGGGTGCCCACTGCGTCACTGAGTGAATGGGTTAAAAGAGAGGAATGTCCCCAAGGGCATCAATAAAGTATACATTGATAATGTGTACTGGAATCTCAGAATTGGGAAATTCTGCAAATTAGTTAATTGGTTAAAATTAGTTGAACTAATTTTAGGTGTCCTTAGACACTGAAGTATGCAGACACATGATACTTTATGAAAAACAGAAATGCAGTATCAATTAACACAGCTTGTGACTTTTACCCATCAAATTTCAACTGTGTCAATCTTTTTCTTATTTATTTAAAAGTGCAGGACCAATTACAAATGCATGAGC